AGTCTTGAAAAAAGGGGTACCGATTATGCTATTGAGGAACATTGACCAAACATCTGGATTGTGTAATGGGACAAGATTAATCGTTCAAGAGCTGCGAAATAATGTTATTGGTGCAATTGTGGTTTCGGGAAATCGAGTCGGGGAAAAAGTTTACATCCCTAGAATGAATTTGGTACCATCTGATCTAGGGCTACCCTTGAAGTTCCAAAGAAGATAATTCTTGATCGCCTCATATTTTGCTATAACAATCAACAAAAGTCAAGGTCAAACATTGTCATTTGTGGGATTATTTTTAACCAAGTCAGTGTTCACACATGGTCAACTATATTTTGTTGTTTCACGAGTGAAGACAAAGACCAGATTAAAAATTTTAGTTCTAGATGACAATAAAAACACTTGCAATCATACCAAAAATGTTGTATACCCTGAAATCTTTCGGAAAATTTGGTATTAAAATAAACATTGTTAACTCTACATTCTGTTCCTCAAATATTATTTATTTTACTTTGGCTTTTTTCATTTGTAGTATTAAAAATCATGTGAGCAATATATTTACTTTATTCTGAAAAATAAATTTCATTAAAATAAATTTAGAATCGACATAAATTTCTTTCGACCCCGTGCATGGCACGGGTCAAAATACAAGTATATATTTATAAAGTTGAGTGGCTTAAATGTGGTAACGACACGTGTCACGCCACACGTGTACATTTGTAACACATGTCATGCCACATGTGTATCACGTGCCACGTGGCATGCCATGTGTGCGTATTAATTTTTATATTAAATAATCATTATTTTTATTATACTTTACAAATCCCTTCAGTTTATAAACTTTCACTTTCTAATTTTAATAATAATTTTTGTATTATATTTTCGTCATTGTAATATATTTTAAAGTTCGAAAACCAATTTCATTCATTTAAAAATGTTAAATAAGTTATTTTTTATAATCCAAAATTTATATTTCTATTACTTATAAAAAGCAAGTTCATTAATTTATCACATATGCATCTTTTTTTGAGTGTTATTGACTCTATTAAATAAGCATCTTTATTAACTATATGAGATACATTTTAAAACTTTAGATTTATTTTATTATACACCCTCTGTCCTAAAACTGACTTCTCAATTTACGAGATTTGACTGGAGTTATTTTAAATTCAATTTGTTTGATTAAGTGTAAAATTTAAAAATAAAACTTTTATATTTAAAACTGCATCAAAAATATTAAAAAATATAGATTACATGACGTTATTATTTTATCAAATGAGTAATGAAAATAAATAGTAGAATGTTACATTTTAGAATGTTTACGAGCTCGTGCGAAGCACGGGGTTAATACTAGTATATATAAATGGTTAGGTTTATTGTCCTTTATTTAGATCTAGTAATTCAATTCACTCCCCTTAAATCGATTTTAATTAATTATGAAATTTGGACGAAGCTAGGCTGTGAATCTATTTAAGGTACGTGTGAATTAAGTTAATTAATCCGGCGAGGCTTAGAAGATAATAATGATTAAGGGCATTTGTGGCGGCCGCCGTGAGTAGTCATGTGGGCATAACAAGGGCAGACGTCCTCATTTCCGGCGGTCCCCGGCGGCACGCAGTGGCACCTCCGGCAGCAGGTATTGCATGCCCTCAGACACATCTTCTGCCTTGACGACTTGCTGCAACGATAACTGCATTTCGACGGGCAATCTGCATGCACCAAATTTATATAAACTACAATTACTTTAATTTATAATAATTATAATTATAATTATAACAACAATAATAACAACAACAACAATAAATTATATAAAAAAATTTACAAAAAATAATGATATGATGATTTTATTTTATCAAAGGATTAATAAAATTGCATACGCAAACAAAATTTATCAGAAGCGCGTAATACTCCCTCCGTCCCACTCTCTTTGTCCACTTACCTTTTGGCACACCATCCAATGCACTTCTTTAATCCATTTTATCTTGTAATTTGTATATTAAAAAATTATAGAAATTATATATTAATAATCTATATATTAAGACAAATCAAACAAGATCACACATGACTATATTTAGGCTTACACATTGAGAGAATTTGATGAGTCAAAGTGCTTAGATAAACAGTTCTAAAAGTCAAAAGTGGACAAAAAGAGTAGGACGGAGGTAGTACTTAATAAACCAAATTTTTCTGGGAGGGAGGGAGGGAGAAAAATTTAGGAGAAAGATTTGTGACCGGAAAAAATGCAAATTCATCCATGCATATTTACCTGATCAAAGCGCGAGCCGGGCCGGGTTGATACGGTACTATACATTACGAGAATTTTTTAAACTCGAGCCCGACATGGCTCGTATAACAGGCCTAACAATTGAAGCCCGAACCCGGCCCGCATGGATACCTAGGGGCTTCAGGCTGACCTGGTCCGCACGACAAACACTTCTTTATAATTAAAAAGATATTTTTTTAAAATAAAATAATGTGTTAATATACTAGATATTTGATATAATAACTATAATGACTAAATTAAAGAATAACTAATATATAAAATGTGTTTTGTTTGATATTGCTACTACGTGCAGAGTAGAAGTATCATTTATTAGAATACCATTATCAATGTGTGATACACAGTAAACAATACACAGTAATAATGATGTATTCAATTTATTAAATATACTTATAATTTATTTTTTATCCATAGAAGAACGGTTGTGGTGTTTTTAATAATTTGAAATAATATTATTCTTTTTATTATTATTAATATTAATGTTATTATTATTATTTTATTTTAATTATACTAATAATAAATATTTTAATTCATTCGGGTCATGCCGGCCTGTGGGCTCAAATATAAAACTCGAGTCCGGCCCTTAAAAATTCGGGCCTTCATTTATTAGCCCAAGCCTGCCACATACCTTAAAATTTCAAGTCCAAACCTGCTATTTTGCAGGCTGGCAGAGTACTAGGCCCGTGGGCTCTAATCTAATGTATGTACCTGTGTCCGCAACTTTCAAATGTTGTCCACTACATGTCCCTGCCTGAAAAAACGATGCATAACAAACATTATTCAATAAACATAAGTCTCATTTGAAAATAACTTTTTTGATTAGTGTCAGTGTATTTGATAAAATTTTAATGGTGTAGATTAATTTTGAAGATGATATCCCTAAAGGCTATCGTCGTATAGTCTTTTCAAAATGTTAACACTAATCTCTAACGCTGATGCCAAACGGGACCAGAGAAGACCACAAATATTTTTAGTAGGTATTGATTAAAGTCATGTTTTTATATAATGAATACAGCCATATAAATTATCCAATATGTACAAATATGATGTGGAACCATTTTTTTTGGGACAATTCGAAATATATGGAAAAAAGGGGAAAATTAAAATAATAATCACCTCATGTGCTAGGACAACGTACAAAATCACCAGCAACAATTTCATTACCATTGCCTTCTCCATATAATAATTATACATATATTACTTGCTATAAATAATATTTTAGGTAATTTTAAACTTAATTATATTTTAGGAAATGAAATATCTCTGCTGATTTGCGTATATTTCAAATATAGTACGTATAAATACTGGAAATTAGATCCATTTAATCATTATCTAAACTCGTGGATTATGGGGATTTGAAGTTCAACTCTCTTTGCATGTTTTATATATCATCAACAATGATCTTTTTATGAAGCCTAACAATTTTTTGTTTGGATAAATAAACCTAACAGACTAGTTGTCCAACTAGTGATCTAACTCTTCCAGTCATTCCAGATCGCTCTTTGATCTATAATTAAATAAAAATTACATGTTATATTAACAAAATAAAAAATTATTTTGAAAATATTTTACAAGCTTAACCTAATAGCACGCAGTACTCTTGTATCAGTAATATTAATTATAAATTTCATTTAATTAATATAATAGTCAGAATTTATCAATTTTGATTTTGATTACAAAAAGATAAAACTGGATAAATATATTATGGGACAAAGAGAGTCAAAAGAGTTAATACTCGCTTTAGTCTTTGTAAGTGCACTCACGAGTGAATTTGGTCCCTGTAAGTTTGATTTAGTCAAATTAGTCCTTGTAACTAGGAAATGTGAATCAAATTAGTCCTTTATGAAAAATTTATATTCTAAATTTATAAGTTAACACGTTAATTGATACAAAAAGTAATACACGGGGTCATTGTTTTTGCGTCAATTAACGCGATGACTCGGAATTTTAGAAGATAAATAATGTTCGAATGACTAACGTAACTTCATTCACATTTTCTATATATACGAACTAATTTGACTCAAATGCACAACAAATGTACATACAAGAAACATTGACGAGAATAGTATGAAAGTCTGAGCATATCGTACAATATTTCGTAATAAAGTAAACAGTCTAACCATGCATACAAATCTAGCTAGCGTGCTAGCTTAGCTAGCCATGTGCGAAATTGATGTCGAGACCCGCCTTCGACTTGGTCTAGGTAGGTAAAATAGTCATTAGGTAGGTTTATATATTTCTAGTCGTCGTTAGACTACCATCGTCTCCGGTCGCCTATCGCCGTCCTCCGTTGTTGCCGTTGGCTACCCTTCTTCGTTGTGCACCTTTGCCTATCACTAACAGTCTAATTATCGCATTATGATTTTAATTAAATTTAAGAAAAATCTGATATTATTCCTTTGGCAAGGTTCCGATGACATTGCCCGGCAATGTCATGGGATGACCCGGGGGCGTTCCGGTGCCCTGTTCGTAAAATTAGCGGTTCCTACCCCCGGTAAATCCCTCACCCCGCCCCGACCCGAACACACCCCCACCCCCTTCAATTGCACCCAACGAGTTGATTTTGAATTTGGAGTCAAATTTTGACTCCAAAGTCAAAATTAACTTGTGGGTGCAATTGAACAGGGTGAGGGGGTGTGTTCAGGTCGGGGCAGGGTGAGGGGGTTTAACGAGAAGGGTAGAAGGGTAGAAATCGTCAATTTTACGAATGGGGTACCAGAGCGCCTCGAGTCATCCCATGACATTGCCGGAAAATGTCATGGGAACCTTGCTGTTATTTCTTTGGTAGAGCTTCTTTTTTGAAGAGATGTGTTTGGTGTACACTTGCAGGGTATGCCAAGCACGTGACATAACCCCCAACCCGGCCGGTTCAAGTAAAAAGTCCCAACGGTCCCCGTAGAGTCCGTAACCTTACACAAGCTTTGAGCAGACTCAACGTCGCCGACGACCTCCCGTCGCCTTTTCCGGCAATCCACTTCCCGGACGCTCAGAAGGCTTCCTCTTTCTGGAGACCTAGGCTCGAATTCGCGTATACGTGAGCAGATATTAGTATTTCCGGAGCGTAGTTACTGTGCAATCCGCGGAATGGCTCAGTCCAGGCAATGGAGCTTCGGAAATGGCGGCGGAGGATTAGGTAGAAGCGGCGTCTCTCCTAATCTCGTGTCGATTGGGGTTCGATACCCGGCGCTCAAGCAACAGCAGCAATCGCGGTTTCTGCACGGCCATCACCGCCGGTTTAAAGGCCGCCAACCCTCGGCCGGCGCTATCGTAGCTATTCTCTCCCTCGTATTTGTCACCTCAGTCCTCTCTATTCTATACTTCGCTTCTCAAAATAGCGGTATGAATATCATTTTATGCATATTCGCATCTCCTTTTCTAAGTATTCTTAACATGATAAAGGATGCAAAATGCAGAATCCACGCCATGTGTTTGTGTTTAAGTGGATTATGGATTGAGTTTTCCCCCTTCTAATTCATCATCACCGTACCATCGTTGTCAGCCCCTTAGCAGTAATAAACACTATGACTTCATATAAAAAAGCATAATGGTAATGCCTAAAGCGGGACGGATGCCTTCACAACCTTTGTAGGAAGGTATAATAAGGAGTAGAACAAGAATAAACGCACTATAATCACATTTCTGTTTGGTTTTGAGGGTTAAAATGCATGCAATCTTACCCATATTACAAAGACAAAAGAAAGGGGTTGTTTCTGCTAGACCCTCGATGCGTTGTTGCATCTACTCCCCAAAACTTCATAGAAAGTAAGAGGAATGAGAAGTATAATGTGCCACTTTGATTCAGCCCATTATTTATCAAAGCCAACACATTGTCAAAAATGACTCTATTAGCTCCATTGACAATGGACGAAGTAGAAAGGAATAATGAGATGAAAATTTTAAGACCGTTTATTTCCACATGCATGGAAAATATCACAAGAAGGTGAAAGTTGGGATGTTTATCATTGAATGCAACACCAACACTTTATCTGATTGTAATTTCCATAATCTATTTAAAAGGCACTTAATGTTGGTGTTGATGTCTTTTTGCTCTGGCAGAGTTTGATAACAGTCGTGCACCGGATGATGAGATTGAAAACAATACGGATTTTCTTACTAATGTCCCGAGAATACAAAGACATCAAGTCCATTTTGGACATGAATTGACTGAGCATGGCAATGATGATGCATATGAATCTGGAATTGATTTAGATGCTACAAATGCAGAAGGATACAATAAGGTGGGCCGTGAAGAGGACGACAATCAAGTTGTTATGCATGATGTTGGGGCCAGGAACAAAGTAAAGGTCATTGAGGTTGGAAAAGGCTTAACCGATTTCTCTAACAAGGACCTCATTTCAAGCATTCAACATTCAAAAAGTGGTGTGAATGCAAGACGATCTGCAAGAAAGTCTAAATATGAAAAGCGGTTAGCTTTAAGGAAGAAAGCAAAGCGACGTAAGTTTAAGAAGTTTTCCCTCTTTTTGCATTTGTATGTGTGATTTGTTTTGGATTCTATCAACATGCTTTTTTATGAAATTCACTCATACTGCCTTTTATCACTAAGTTATGAATATTGAACTTTGCAAAGTGAGATTGAATGGAGAGACATGTGCATGCTGGTGGCAAAGTATAAAAAATATCTAAATTATGAGCAGGCAGAGCTTAACTTTTGATTTAGAGAAAAGTTATGCTCCGAAATAAATGCCCATTTTTTAATATCAAGAAAGCATTTATCGCTCATTTTCCACAAATTCCCTTCTCTACCAATAACTGTTTCAAAATACAATGTATATCCTTAACTCATTTATAAAGGCTATTCTAGTCATGCTATAGAATATCTATCTTGATTTTAGAAAACTTAGTTGCTTTCTTAATTGTGTTTAAAGGCCTAAAACAACTGTTTGAATTGGAGAGAGATGGTGTAATTTGTAGCCTCTTGGTATTCGAATTTCAATGTGTATTATTACTGCTCTTCATGGGAAAGTGACCCAATCCATATTTTTGAACATTATGGATTGTATTCTTTAATGAAGGAACATTGTGATTTGGGTCCAACCCATTGTATATTTGTTTCTAAACTTTGTGCATTTCATTTGCAGCTCCATGTGATATGAAACTTTTAAACTCTACTGAACTCATTGTAGAACCTGTAGAGAGCCAGAAATTTGCCAGATTTTCATTGCACTATACTGAAAGAGAGTATCAGCCTATTGGAGGAAGATGGGAACCAAGATTTTCTGGTCATCAATCTCTTGCCGAAAGAGAAGAATCCTTTCTTGCACAGAATCAGAAAATAAATTGTGGCTTTGTCAAAGGCCCTGAAGGGTCTCCATCTACAGGCTTTGACATGGTTGAAGATGATACAAGATACATTAGCAGTTGCCATATCGCTGTTGTTTCTTGTATATTTGGAAATTCAGATCGCTTGAGAACACCAGTAGGCAAATTGGTACCTATCGAGTTACATATTGCCATTCAATTTTATACTATTTTCCCTCAATTTTATATGCCTTTGATGTGGGTTACCTTTACTTGATTTGTGAGAAAATGTTGATAGCAGATTAATTATATATATATATATTGTCAATACTTGATTTTGAACTTTGATAAGTTTGATTACATATCATGCATGATTACTCTGTCTGGTTATCAACTTTTTAATGAACTCACTTTGGTCCTCAACCATAAAATTTGTAGTCAATTTAAAGCTTGTTCTCTTCGCCTGGTGTGGTCTAATCCGGTTTGGCATTGTAGTTATATTAGAAGCTGTTTCTGATCTTCACAATAAAAATAAGTAATACGTAGTAAGTAATAAGAATAAATTGAAGAGAACAAGCTCTTAGTCTTCAAACGCATATCATATTTAGTTCTCAATATGGCGTTTTTGTTCACACACTAAAAGTGCATACATTTTCTCTTTCTTTTACGGAGTATTTATTTATTTATTTAACTTCTCCAGGTTTCTCGGTTTTCCAGGAAAAATGTTTGCTTTGTTATGTTTGTGGATGAAGGGACTTTACAGACCCTTTCTTCAGAAGGCCATATGCTGGATAGCATGGGTTTTATTGGTTTATGGAAAATCGTGGTGGTTAAAAATTTTCCTTATGATGACATGCGGCGAGTGGGAAAGATACCCAAGTTTTTGTCACACAGACTTTTTACATCAGCCAGGTGAGAAATTGTCAGGATTTTTTTTTCTTTTTACTTCATACTTGTAGAGTTTACTCTTAGTCTTATCCAATTAATATAAGAAAACCTTTATACTCCCTCTATCTCCCAAAGAATTTCATACTTTGACTTTACGGGTTTTAGAAAAGTGGTGAAAAGTGAAAAGTGCCTAGTACCGCAAAGAAATCCACACTTGGAGTTTACATAGGTTTAGAACAATATTTAAAAGTAAAAAATGCCCAATTAAAATTCGTTTAGAAGAGAGAAATGTTCTGATCCTCATATTTATTTCCTAGAAAGGAAAGGTGAAAATTATTTTGAAACGGACAAGCGGAAAAGAAAACTCTGATGGGAGGGAGTAAAAGAATAGAGTTGGACCTAAGTAATTTTATTCTAATTGAGTGGCTATCGTCGTTAACAGGTATAACCATATAAAACCTCCCTTATATAGTTTTATAAGGAGTATACGAAAAAATGATGACACTTGAACTGGGTTGAGAATATACATTGTGTGCATAGTCTTTATATAATATTCGATAGAAGCTTAGGGAAATAATAAAATCAATGTTATTGTTTTAAGAATATTCGTTCTATAGAGGTTGTACAATATGTCCAAGGTTTAAAGGTCTGCTGAACATTGTTACAGTACTAAACAGTCAATTCTGTTGCTTTACGTTCATTTTATTTTCAAAATTCACAGGTATTCAATTTGGTTGGATAGCAAGCTTAGACTGCAGCTGGACCCTCTTCTTATATTGGAATATTTTCTCTGGCGGAGAGGCCATGAGTACGCCATTTCCAATCACTATGACCGGCATTGTGTCTGGGAAGAAGTGGCTCAAAACAAGAAACTTAACAAGTACAACCACACCATTATAGATCAACAGTTTCAGTTCTACCGAGATGATGGTCTCGAACGGTTTAATGCTTCAGATCCAGACAAGCTACTTCCTAGCAGTATGTTTCTATTATGTACCTTCTGCTTCATTGTGCTCTTCGAATTGACGATATTTATATATTTAGTTACTCTGTCTTTTCAACTTTTTCTTAATTAATTAACTTTTGGGGTTATTTTGACAGATGTGCCTGAAGGCTCCTTGATTGTGAGAGCTCACACGCCCATGTCGAACTTGTTTTCATGCCTTTGGTTTAATGAGGTGGACCGGTTTACACCACGTGATCAGCTGAGTTTTGCATATACATACTTCAAACTAAGAAGGATGAACCCTGGAAAACCTTTTTACCTCAATATGTTCAAGGTGATTATACAGAACTTGCTACTTAATTAAGGATCTTACTAAGGATATGACCTTAGATAGGAACACCTAAATCTCTATGGTTATAGTACTTGAGTAGACCTTATACGAACTCAACACAATTGCATATATGCAACTGAATTTCATTGTTCAAGAATACTGATCATGGGATAAATGTGTGACATTTTCACTGCAAGGACTGTGAGAGGCGAAAGACAGCCAAATTGTTTCGCCATCGAGACATGGTGAACTTAGGAAAAAGCCACGCTACAATTTGATGGGACTAAACGCTTAGGCCTGGATATGACCTATTGGGGAAAAAACAACCCTACGTGCCTGCGTGGGGCCCACAGAGATCGAGATCTATCAACTATGCTTGACAGGTGACACGCCAATGTAACTTCGCATGCTTTTTGTTCAAGAAATGTGATAGTTCTTAGCTTGATGATGTATGATAGGAAGTACAAAGTGCCAAATTAGCTGTGATCCTTTGTCTGTTTTGACAGCTTAGGTTGCCAAAAACTTTAGTTTATTCTGCTCAAAGAATGTCCAGATCGAATATGTTTTGTAAAACAGTTTTTGACTTGTTTGGTTGAAATGGATGTAATTCTCAGCAGATAGGGAAAATGTATTCATCTATGGAAAAATTATTGCAATACAGAAAGTGTCTTTGGAATTATTTAAATAATTTGTACTTTCACAAATTAAATATTTTCCCCGGCCAATAATTGGTAAAACTTTAGCAGAAATATATGTACAGATAAATTGGCTGTTTTCAAGAACAAATTAAATCACTGAAAAATACAAATTATTCATTACTGGAAAAAACAAACAAACAAACAAATCTATCACAAACAACGTACTCCACATGAAAAGAAAACAATGAAAGGGCGCCATGCAAACATTCCTACGTACATTATATTCTGCATGAAGATGAGCCCCAACACAACCAAAATCCCAAGTAATCAAATTCAACTCATTCCACCTCCTTCATTATTCTTCTCATCATGCATATCTATAATCTCCCCTCCAACGAACCCTAGGCTGCAGCCACTTCTGAGGAAGCTTTTGCACGAGGCTGCAGGCAGAAGAACCCGGCGACATTATTCATCTTCTTCAGGCGCTGCTTCGCCGCCGCATCCTCGTACGCTCTGACCGCCTCTAGCATCTCCACCACCGCCTCCATCTCCGGCCGCTTCCTCGAGTTCACGTCCCAACACATCGTCATCGCATTCGCTAGCGCCGATGGGCACGACGCCGCTATCTCCGGCCTCAGAACCTGAAAGTCAAGAAATTAATTTTTTAAAAAAACATGTTGGTTAGTTATTATGAATATCTGATTGTCACATATGTACACCAAGCCAACACAGACACACACAAACATAAGTTGTCTGTGTAGCACAAACATTTTGTATCTATGTGTGTCTATATTGGCTTGATGTATATATATATATGAGGTACCCTATGTTGGTGTACCCCTAGGTTAGTTCAAATGTTAATTACCTTGTAGACAGAAGGTGGGCAAGGATGTTTGGGGTTATAGTCAGGAAATGGGAACATGTAGTGGTAAATCTCCCACAAGCAAATGCCAAAGCTATAGATATCACATTTGTGATCATATGCCCTTTTATCAAACACCTCCGGCGCCATGTACCCCACCGTGCCGGTGGTTGCCGTCATCTCGTTCCGGTCGGCCGCCTCGAGCCGAGAAACCCCGAAATCGACAAACTTCACCCTACCGTTCTTGTCGAGGAGCAGATTCGTCGTCTTCACGTCTCTGTGGACTATTTTCTTGGAGTGAAGGTAGCTCAATCTGCACCCACAAATTCAAAATTATGTTAATTCAACAACAACAACAATAATTATTTAAAGGACATTTATACCCCTAGCCAGAGGTAAAGGACATGTATACCCCTTGGCAACGTCAATGGCGAATTGAAGGGCAACGCTTAGGGGACGTTTTTCGGAGGACCGGTTCCTATAGAGATATGATTGGAGAGTGCCACGTGGAAGGTATTCGACCACTATGCAAAAGCCAGTCTTTGGCAACCTTATGCCGTGTTTGGATTTGATCTTCACTTGTGATAAACTCCTCAGGGCTCCAATCAGCTGGGAAAGTCAACACAATTTTAAAAAAAAATAAATTAAGGCGTGTTTGGGAAACAAGGAATTATATTGGAAGAATGAAAAGAAATTAGTGGGAATGAAGTGGTTTTACCTTTGCGATGTTAGGGTGGTCAAGTTGATACCAAACGGAGACTTCTTGAATGAAATCTCTCTCGATCTCACGTTTTTTCTTTTCGTCGTCCCACTCTAATACTTTCACTGCAAAACAATTAAGTATTACGTATATTAAATTCAACGTGAAATATTAGTTCAATATGATTTGTTTTTTCAAAATTGAATAGATTTATCGTCGAATAATTAAAAATTATGTTGCGTTTCGATACAAAAATTACATCGTCCCAATGCAATTTTTAATTGACTTACAATCAAAATACGTTACATTTAATTTCAAAAAGTCATAATGAATGCAATTAAATCAAATCATATACGTACTCCTCCAATTTTTACGGAACCCTAATTTTTTTAGGGAATAAAACCCTAACTAAATATGATCTTTTAAAAATAAAAGATTAATCTTATCATTACGACAATAATGTGTCTAAAGTACTAAAACAGATCTGCGATACTCAAGAAACAGTTCTTTGACGAACCCAAATCTCTCTCTATATGTACTCCCTTCTTGTTGTTACTATTATTATCATTAATTACAGAGTATTAATTATTTCGTATTATTATACTCCGTATTATTTTACCAAAAAAAATTATCAGAGTTTTTAAAATTGTTTTATAACTAGTGGGTAAACAACAACAAAAAATATATTTCTATATGGAAAGACTTTAATTTCATGCATGCACGTGACTTACCGGCGACATCCCGGCCGTCGTAGGTACCGCGGTAGACATATCCGTAAGAGCCCTGACCGATGACGCTTTTGACCCTGAGCTTCTTGGGGTCCAACTCCCACCCGTCGGCGGGCAGCGGCGGGTGCCTCTCCCCGCGGGGCTTCCCCTCCGCCGCCTCCGGGCGCCGCCCGTTCTCCGTCAAGAAGCGGGGCGGGACGTCATGCTTCGTCATCTTGGGGAGGCTGCTGCTCCCGCCGCCGGCGGCGAGGAGCTTCTGGAGGTGGCGCTCGAGCTGCTCGTCCATGGCCCTCACGTCTATAGGCCTCACTTTCGTCGCCATTATTGATTTCTTCTCGATCGAGCTCTGTAATGGAGAATATGAGATAGAGATCGATGATGATATGAATTGAGGGTTTGGGGGTACGTATTTGGAGTGGTTATTTATACTAATCCGTATTAAATGCGTTTTAGTAATTAATAATTAAGAATGAAGGATAAGTGTTTAAGTCCTAGTTAACCTAGTAGTACGTAATCCTACTTCTTGTTGTAACGGGTTTTTGCCTATTCTTTAGCTGCGATTAATATTTTTTTTGTTGCGGATTCTTAAATTTCGTATAGATTTGCTCCATATTCGTTATTGACACTAGGATATGGATATTGCTAGGGTTGGATTAAGGAAATTATTGTAAGTAATTAAGTCCTCATTTTGTTAACAATTTTGACATTTACACCCTCCTCGATCTCCTTCATCAAAACTTTCTTATTTCGTTTTTACATGTAAAACATCATCTTTTTTTAAATGATTTTATTTATAAATTCTTATAAAAATAAAAAATAAAATTTACATATTTAAAAAGTACATTAAAAATTCTACTCCCTCTGGTCTTAAAAATATTTCATATTTTGACTTTTTTTGGTCAAAGAATGACACTCTTTGACTATAAATTAAACATAATCTAAATAAATAAATGATATTAAAATTTGAATTTATATTATAATTAAATACATTTTTCTCACAATTTGTGACCAAAGTGTGTCAATGTGCGACAAAAAAAGAAGGTCAAAACAGGATATGTTTTTAGGATTGCAGGAGGTACAAAATAAATAGTGACAAAGGTATTTTATTTATTTTATTAAATCACTGAAAATTATCGGGCATCCTTGAATAGTAAACATGAAGGATTTTAGTGAACGAAGAGAATAACATTTTAAAATAGGGTTTCGGGGCACTTCACATGATAATCACCTATTTAGGGTACCTACGGTGTCGTGTTCGTAAAATTAATAATTTTTACCTCCCATATTTCCCTGTTGGTAGACCTCCCACACACTCCCGTCCCAAACCATCACCCACCCTGTCAATAGCACCACTTAAATTTAATCGACTTTGTGGTAAAATATTTAGACCTCAAAATCAACTAAATTTACGTGTTGCAATTGTCAGGGATGGAGTGATGGCTCGGGTCAAGACTCGATCTGGGTGGGTGGGGGTGGAAATAATTAACGCGAAGATCGGGGGGTAAATATCATCTATTTTTGGGAGCGAAGCATATACAACAGGTGTCCAGTTTAGTTGACACTAATTTGTAGTGTCAACGGATTTGTACCAATTTTTAAGGGAGCGATATTTTGGTGTACAAATTAAATAGGGTACTCCATTTTGGTGTATCCCTAGCATGCCCCAAAATTAAATGTTTTCCAAATATTAAAAATAGTTGATTAAAAAAACAAAAGTAGATAAATACTCAGAGAAAGAGTTTATTTTTTGAATTGCACATCGTTGTTTAAACAGTTAGTTTTCTAAACAGTGAGCATTTGAGTCTTCTATTGTCCCATGGTCGTGCAATTGTGAGCACTTATTTTTAATTTATTTTATGGGCGCATAATTATAATCCATTTTTAGTCTTTGTTTAGATACCATTTTTTATATTAGTGTTAGTTGGTTAGATAAAATTTTAATAGTCTAAATTAGTTTAAAAATGACTTCCTAATAATAATCTTTTTAAAACGTTAACCTCTTACGTTCTGGACAAATGTGCACTTAGCCTTATTTGGGAATAATGTTTTCGATTAACTTTCACATTTTAGATAAAATGGTGTAGATTAACTTAGAAAATGCTAATATTAAAGACTCCTATTAAATACTTCCTCCGTCCCTAAATAAACTTTCCTTTTTGACTTTTTAAGGATTTAAGGGAGGGATATTTTTGTGTTGACTTTCCAAAAATACCCTTGATGTGATGTGTAAAAGTAAGATGTGATATGTAGATTATTAGTAAAAAGGTATGATGTGATAGGTAGGGTATGAAAAAGTAAGGGATAAAAGAGGTTTTTTAAGGGAAAAGAGAAGTTTATTTGGGGACAAAGAAAAAACGAAAGGGAAAATCTATTTAGGAACAGATGGAGTACAAGTAACATTTTTAAAATTCTAACTACTAACACAGATGCCAAACAGGGTCTTAGTTAATGAGTAGTTGAGCACTTAGTTTCCAAGATCAATTGTACGGAACTCGTGTATCAACAATTGCACCATAAAATAACTCTTACCTCATGCTTGGAGAGCAGTGAAATTTGGGAGAAGGAAAATAAAATTATTTTTTCTTCTCTAGTTTGGATATTTTGGGATGGAAGAAAAATACCAAATCCTAATTTATCCACTCACAGGCCAGCCCTGGGGTAGGCTAGGGGGCTACCGCCTAGGCCCATTTTATTAAAAGACCCATAATTAATTTTTCTCTTATGCTCCGTAATACTAGTTATATACGGAGTATTATTGTAAAAAAATAATCAGTTTAGGGTTTTCGCTTTAAATTTTAAGTAAATATATGAAGTACAATTATAATATGACACATTCAATTATTTTAATTCATCAAGTGATATTGCTTTTCTTTTAAAATAATTATAAAAGAAGCCAAATTTTTTAAGTTTTTCTAAGACCTATAAAATGTCAGGGCCAACATTGTTCATTCACTCCCTTATTTTCATCCTTTATTCTCTTTTCATCATTATTCAGTTTTCTTTTTTTAAACAAAACGTTAAATGTTACCACGAGGGGTACGGTAAAAATTGTCTGAGTCATATTTATTTTTCAAGAAAATCTTTACCAAGTTTAACATTCTCCGTATCTATGGTGGATCTAGAAATTCATCTAGATGGGGGCATCATTAGCCGGGGGGACAGCGCCCAATTTTTTTAAATAGGTTATATGAAATGACAAGAAACTAATAACTTTATTTTAAACATTTACTGAATAATTTTTTTAATAGGTAATAATGTGAATTTTTATTTCATTAACAATTAATTATATGGAATAAAAAACACATTTTACTAAAGAAATTATACAAAAAGTTTAAATTTTGCCTAGAAATGGGATCACATTAATTTTTGTTGGGTCATCTATACATATTGTGCGTCCGCCCCTACTATGTATTTGCATATAATGAATAAAATTAGATTAAAATATGAAAATGTATGCCAAGGTAACATTTCTATGTTATCGATAATAAAATTAAACGTTATCACAAAGAGTCAATTGATAATAGATAAAGTATCAATCACATCCTACTTTTAACCATCACATCAAGAGTATTTTTGAAAAGTGAACACAAAAATATCACTCCATTAAATTTTCTAAAAATCAAAATGAGAATATCTTTATGAGACGGAAGAAGTATATATTAATGTGCATTTATTATAATAAAAAGGGGAAAATGTGGGATTGAAGTATTAATGTGCAGTTAGAACAAAACAACACAATTAATTAATAGAGAATATGATGATTGTTTAATTCTTGAATGAAGAAGTGTGAGAATTAAGAATGATGAAGCAAGAAAACCTTCTTCAAGACTTTCATGAAAACCAAAATTCCTTTTTCTTCTCCTCCTCCTATTGGCCTCTTGATGATGATTGGTTTATTAGACAACTTCTTCAAACCTTCAACAAATTCCAACTTCAACAATTCTCCATGATCTTCTTCTTCATTGGAATTGAAATCCTCCCACAACATGTCCATCTTCTCTTCTCCTCCTTTCGCCGTTAGCAGGTTCTCGCGGTGGGAGGCCGCGGAGGTTCTCCACCACGCCGGCGGCGGTGGAGGAAAAAACTCATCGTCGGAGTTTGGAGTGGGAAAAGTGAACTCTTCATTGCTATCATCTTTGGCCATGATGATGACTATATGGGAGGGCTTTGTGAAGATTATAGGATAGAGAGATGGTGTTAGTTTGTTAGTGTGTGTAGTGGCGTGTTTGGTGGAGAAGGAATATTAGTGATTGGTGGGCCGGTGTTTGTGTTTGAGACAACTCTCCTTAGTTTAACAAACAAACACACCTTCACTTCCTTGACTCCTTCCTCTATATTGTGCATGGCATCTCTAATCATAAAAATCTGAATTAATTGTCTTTTTTTCTTAATTTTCTTTGGAAATAAAGTACTTCCTACGTCCTAAATTAATTTCTCAATTTGACTTTTTTAGTCAGAGTTTTTAAATGTGGGAAAACCCTCCCAACAATAAGTTTATTTTTGTCTCGCAATTATAAAATTGTACGTAATTAAAATTTGGAACGGAAAGGGTATATTTTTTCAAAAAGGAAAAGTTGTTTCCTCAAAAAAAAGTTGTGACATAAGTTATATATGAATGAATTTTACAAACTTTTTTAGTGTGTGTGAACCAAAAAAAGGTGTCGGCAAGAATCAAAAGTTGGGAAAGAGTAATTTTGTGCCACATGCATGCTTCGCCAACTCGATATGTCACACATGGGGTTACATTTTTCTTAATGGATTTTTTGCAAAAAAAAAAAAAAAATTAAAAAAATTGTCTTTTGGGTCCCATAAAAATAGGTTCGTGTCAATTTTGTCGATAATATTAGTTATATTCCAGCTATTTAGTG